AGCACCTCTCCATCCAAGCCCTTAACAGTATGGCAGCCCCAGTCTGTGTTTGGAAAGTTAAAATCCCCTACCATAACCACCCTATTATTCTAACAGGTAACTGAGATCTCCTTACAAATTTGTTTCTCAATTTCCTGCTAACTATTGGAGGGGTGGTGTATTGTACAATCCCAATAAGGTGATCATCCCTTTCTTAGTTCTCAGTTCCACCCAAATAACTTCCCAGGAATATCGTCCCTCTGTACAGCCATAATGTTATTCCTAATCAAAAACGCCACTCACCCCTTCTCTCTTGCGCTCTTTTCTATCCTTCCTATAACATTTATATCCTGGAACATTAAGCTGCCAGTCCTGTCCATCCCTGAGCCATGTCCCCAACCATGCCCTGAGTTTATTTGCCTTACCTGTTAGGCCTCTTGCATTGAAATAAGTGCAGTTTAATTTATCAGTCATACCCCGTTCTGTGCTTTGTTCCTGCCTGACCTGACTGTTTGATTTACTCCTTTTCCCAACTGTACCAGTCTCAGACTGATCTCTTTCCTCACTGTCTCCCTGGGTCTCAGTTCCTGGATCTCACCCCCTTTTTACCAGTTTACATCCTCCCGAACAGCTCTAGCAAAACTCCCCACCAGTATATTAGTCCCCTTCCAATTTGGGTACAATCCGTCCTTCTTATACAGGTCACATCTATTCCACAAGAGATGCCAATGATCCAAAAATGTGAATCCCTTCTCTCCTGCACCATCTCCTCAGCCACATGTACATCTCCTGTATCCTCCCATTCCTACTCTTACTAGCTCGTGGCACTGGGAGTAATCCAGATATTACTACCTTCGATGACCTACTTTTAATATTCCTGTCTACCTTGCTGTATTTTCTCCTCAGGAAGAAAAAAGGACGAGATTCTATGTCATTAGTTCCAATGTGTACAATGGCCTCCTGCTGGTCCCTCTCCCCCTTGAGAATATTCTGCACCCTCTCCTTGCCTCCCTACAGCTAGGAACAACACACCATTCTGATGTCTTGCTTTCGGCCGCAGAAACGTCTGTCTGTGCCTCTGACTAGAGAATCCCCTCGTACAATCAATCGCTTGGAACCTGGTGTAGCCCTTGTTACATTAGAACCAGTCACAGTACCAGAAACCTGGCTGTCAGTGCTGCATTTCCCTGGGAGTCCATCACCCCTACAGTCCTTGGCCTTCTCAGGAGAAACCCAGCCCAAGAATAAGCTAAGATAGAATCCAAGAATCTAATTTGTTCTGAAACTAAGTGGAATTTTACAGCTGTTGTCTAGAAATTAGTTGTGTAGTTAATTTCTGGATAAAATTCAAATAGTCTGGACAAAATATAGCGATAATTTTGTGGTACCTGGTACATAACTACACCTTGTATTTTAAATGAAATGTTTGACTTCAAGATTTAATTTCCATCCATCTACTAATGATTTTAAAATTCTTTCCATAAGATTTAATGTACATAGATGGAAAACGGTCGACAATGTCTTGGCCAGTTTCCAGTAAAAGACTTAAGGCAGGAACTACTGGAACTCTTGCTAGAAACATGTTACTTGGCTTGATCCAGGTTTAGGATAATAGCGACCAATCGCAATTTAAAATAAAACCATATAAAAGGCTGATGTGAGGACTCATAAGGCAACCTAAATTTGGGGAGGATATTTTAGAAACCAGCAGTGGATGTCTGAAAGCTAATAGAGGCAGATAATTGATGACGAAAGCAAATTGGCAAGAAATATAAAAATCCAACAGCAAGAGCTTATACAGATATATAAAAGAATGAAATGAAAGAATATTTAAATGAGAGAATATTTAAAAAGAAAGAGAGTAGCTGAAATGCTACTGGGGAATTAATAACAGGGAAATGGCGGATAATTTAAATGAATATCGTGCATCTATCTGCACAATGGAGGATGCTATAAACATCCCATGCAAGGTGCTAATGGGAGGAAAAAGCTTGTAACAGTCTACCATCCAAGACAAAATATTTGACAAACCTACTGAACTAAAGACAGACATTTTGCAAGGACCTGATGGCTTGCATCCAGGGGTTTTAAAGGAAATTTGCTGCAGAGATAGTAGAGGCATTGGTCGAAATATTCCAGACCTCATTAGATTCTGGAAGGCTTCCCGGAGTTTGGAAAATCAATAATGTGCTGGCCCTGTTTGAGAATGGATGGAGACAGAAAGCAGGAGACTATAGACCAGTTAGCCTAACATTTCATGAGGAAAATCATAGATTATTTGTAAGGATGAAATAACAGGAACTGTTTGAAAAGTGTAATGCAATCAAACAGTCATCATGGTTTTGTGAAAGAGAAATCAGATTTACAAATGTGCTAAGGTTCTTTGAGGATGTAACCAGTAGAGTTGATATAGGGTAACTGGTATATGTAGCATATTTGGGTTTCTAGAAGGTATTCAATCAATTTCCACATTGAAGGTGATTGCACAAGACAGGAGCTCACGGTATGGGCTAATATCTTAGCATGCATTGAGCATTGTTTGACACACAGAAGATAGAGTTGGGACTAATGGATCTTTTTCTACTTGGGAAGATGTGGTAAATGGGGTACCACAAGGTTCTAGAGCCTCAGTTTGCTGACCAGACAAAAATAAATGCTCAGGCATGTCGTGATGACAAGAATTTTGGATAAGGATGGATTGAGTGAGTGAGCAAAACTTAGGAAATAGAGTTTAATGTAGGAAAATTAAGGGTAGGAAGAATTCGTAGACAATGACCTTTTTGTGATGAGAACAGTTTTTTGCTGTTAGGTGGAGGATAGATTGTTCGGGAGTCACACCTGAGACACTAGTATTCAGTCACCCTAGGCGGATGGCTAACAGGATACAATAGAAGGGACTAATTGACTGTCTTTGTTGGGGACCGCCTTTGAGCTATAGACCTCTAACAGCAGGTGAGACAGAGCCCCACTACCTGTTGGGATCCTGAGCATTTGGTTTCAAAGCCAGTTACATCTCTACAGCTACCTTTCTGACAAATATTCAAAAAGGCATGAACGTTGTTCTTTATCAGAAACACCCAGGAGAATCTACAGACTGTCGTAGTAACATCAGGAAGTACTCCTTGCAGAAAATGTAACAGCATCTCCCTTTCACTCTGCAAATCAAGTCTGATACCCTATCTGAGTTGCATTTTGGAATACACTACTGACATAAAGAATTTTGATCAGAATGGACTGCAAATACCATATTTTGGAGAAGTACAGATTGCAATTTAATAGCAACTGTTTCCAGAAGAATGTGCTGTTTACATCAGACAATATTTCTGAACTTCAAGACCACTAAGGAACATTGAAATGTATAATCTTTAGTTTACACTCTTAACTGTCTTTCCCAACTTCATATCCGCTACCTTAAGACCTGTCCGGATTTTGCATGCTAGTATGTGTGTGTGTATGTACATCATGGGATTTAGGATGAGTTTGACCTTTTTAACATGGTTTATACTTTTGAGTTTTACAATAGAACCACCTCCTTATTTTTGTTAACTCAAGGACTCTCTGGCTTATTTCTTCATATAATTTTGAAACGGCACATTTAAAAGGAAAATTCAAGCTCTGCTATAACCAACCCTAGGAGTGAAAGAGAAGAATTTTATTCACCCCCGAACTTTGTCATAATAATGTAGATAGCCATAGATGAGCTAATAGTATAATGTATGGAGGTAGGATTAAACTGGTATTTATTAATTTTGGTCTAAAATTACATATGAACCAAAAGTATTTCAATGTTGTTGGTCATTGTGTTATTTCTGTTATATTTTTATTCCATAAATCTCTATCTCATACAGTTTATACCATTTTACACAAAATTGCAATCTTAATTATATAGGGAAGCCTCCATCTTTGGCAGCACAAACCCTGAAGATATTTTTATGATCCTGTTCTTAGTCGTATATCCCACATTGTATCTGAGAACTGAGGAAAATTAATCAGTTGTGGTTGACCGACTTGAAAACCAGACAGCTCATGATCTCAAGTCCGTAACTACATGGTTGAAAGGCTGCAACACAATGCTGCATTAAACTGTAGCACTGCCAGTTCTTCTTTCCCTTTTCCCCACTCCTGCCATTCTCTACGGAGGACTCGTCTGTTCTCAGAGATACAAAAGGCCTAAAAATGTTTAAGAGCTTGCTCTGTCATGCACAAGTTCAAATCTGCTCTTGCCAAAGATTGCTGCATGACCGAGTTCATGTGAGGTTGACTGCAGAACTGTAACTGCATCTTACCGTATGTGTACAAAATCAATCACTCTTAAACAAACACTTCAATTTCTACAAAATTGTGATATCATTGATTAGCTGTGAAGTGAACAGAGGTAAAACAGATACTGGACTTTGGTGCAGCTTTAAAAGAAAGGGCAGACAGCATCTGATATAGGGCATCACTATAGGAACCAGGACTCTGACTCAGAATGAAAGGAAAGTTGTAAAAGGATCCATTATATGCTTTGCAAGTGGACTCTCAAAACAGATTTTTATTGGGCAGTGGCTCCTGCTTTAGTAACCTTTAGACCTTACAGCACTCTGAGGTGCTAGAAAGCACCTTCTTTTGCCTTTGAACTCCCTTCTGTGGCTGCTTGAGCAAAGCTTTGCAATTAAATCCATATATTTTTCTTGGAACACTCTCTCAGCAGGGTGACTATTGTGAGGGAAGCTGATACGTGTTGCAAACGCTGACGTATTTAAAGATGATACCCCAGAGTATTGAAATGTGTAGGATTGAGTTTCAGACACTGCCCATCATGTGTCAGAATATCTCTCAATTTTGTCAATTTAAATTTGACAAATTCCTAAAATGAAGACTTAAAATATTACTCACTTCTAATGAATGTAAATAATAGTGTGCTCATTTAAGAATGACATTCATTTACATCATCTTGGTTTCATAGTGTATAAACTTTGCCTATCTCAAATATTTTATGTATTTGTTTAAGTAATTGTATAACTGACCTACATGCCTAGGTGTTTGAACAATATTTTGACGTGGGTTTTGAAGTTTTTAAAGATGGACTGAATGATGTAAAGCTGGAGAGGTTTAGCGATGAAATTCAGAAGACCAGGAGCATTCCTGTTGGTGAGTAGAAGGGAGGTGTTCAGGGATATAGGTGTACAGAAAATTGCAAAGCGATGGTAGAATAAGGCAATAGAGATAATTATAGACAAGGACAATAACTTAGCAATGAGACCCACTATGTGTAAAGATTTAGCTGTGAGGCCAGAAAAGTTGATTGTCAAATCTTGAAGTGACATGGTATATGTTAAGTTTTCTGCAACTTAGAGACTGAAGCACACAGTGCACTGGAGACAAAGATAATTAACTGAAAGTAAAGTGGAGTTGAGCACTCGGATTTGGGTCACACAGGATGCCAACATTAAATGTATCCTTTCAGTCTGGGGATGGTGGTGGGGTCAAAGACAGGGGCTTGGGTCTTTGCAGTCTTTCAGCTAGAGGAAGTGAAGATTCATCTGGGAATGATTTATTCCAATTTTAAGTACCCCTTTGCAGGGTTACATCCAACTATTGTATTCTACTTTCATTGATAAAAGCTAAGGGTACTTGTTCCCTCTGTATGAAAATCATAATAGAATATTCAAAGTACCCAGTTCCAACATTGAAGCATATGTTATCTTAGAAGCAATTTCCAGTTGTGAATTACTATATGCTGACCTCTTGGATCTTTGTTAAACTAGAGTTCAGAAGACCACTTATTTACATATTAACAGCATTACCTTTTCCCTTTTGCTGAAGTCTTCAATTATGCAGTTGATGTTTCCAGACGTATTCATTGCTCTCCTGGCCATTCTTTCATCTTCCACTCTCCATGGTATATCAAGTCCTGTTGCCTCACATCTTGTAATCAATGTCTTTGGGGGAAAATGCAGTCTAAAAGCTTAGTTATTGCAGTTGTTGAGTCAGAATGACTTTTAAGACCTTATCACAAAGGCTGGAAAATTCCTTGGTACTGGCCCCACTTTGCTGCTTAAAGGTAACCGAAATTCCATTTACACAAACAAACAGGGCTTCTGATGCACTTCTGGAAAAATTATAGACTAGAGTACTGGTTGATGAAGTACGAAAGTAGAATACTACAAGTGATGGAAATCTAAAATTAAAACAGAAAATTCAGATTAGAAATGCCCTGCAGGTCTGGTGACCTCTGTGGAGAGAACCAGAGTTGATGTTTCAGATCAATGACCTTTCATCAGAACTCTCATACTGTCAATATACTGAGAAGAGATCTGAGACTTGTTCAGGATAGGCAGAAAAGCAGAGTTAAGACCAGAATCAAATCAGAATGGTCTAATCGAGTAATGAAACAAGCTTGATGGACCGAAAGGCCCACTTCTGCACCTATTTCTTAAGCTCTTATAAACAGTTCATCCAAAATTCTGCTGCTAAGTTTCCCTCACTGATCACCCATGTGCTTATTGGTTTCCTTGTGGGCTTATTCCTCCCTATCTCTGTTCTACAATTCTCCAAGAACTTTGTTGCTTGAAATCTGACCTTTGTGCATTTTGAGAAATCTCTTTCTCCTCATAGGTGACTGGGATTAGCTTTTCTATATTATATTTCTTTGCATCTTTATTTAAAATCCTCCTTAAAAACCACCGTTCTCACAATTTCTTTTTGCCCTCCTATTATCTCCTCCTTTGAGTCACTGTTGGTTCTGTTTTGACTGATTACCTGGTAATATTTCCTGTCCATGTGAGCAGTGGAACATATATAGGGTATATGTCTTGCATCGTTGCTGATCTCCATTTAAATTTCAATCTGAAGGCTTCTTGACTATTTGATATTTTACTCAATTGTAAAGTCTTT